TGCAAACTCCCCCCCCCCCCCCCCCCCCCCCCGTGTCTGTGTCCCGGCCCTTACCGCGGGGCGCCGCGCGGGCGGGCGCGAGCCGCCGGCCCCGCCGCGCATCCTCCCCGCCGCCGCCGCCAAGCCCCGGCCGGCGCCGCGCTCCCGCGCAGGCGCAGTAGGAGCCCCGAGCAGGACGGGTTAACCGCGCGGCTTCTCGCGAGAACGGAATAGAGGCGCCGCCGGGGAAGCGGGGAGAGGAGCGGGGAATTAGCTCAAATGGTAGAGCGCTCGCTTAGCATGCGAGAGGTAGCGGGATCGATGCCCGCATTCTCCACATATTTTCTTCTGCAATCGCTCAGTGCGTTTTGCTTTTTTTTTTTTTTTTTTTTCCCCCCCCTCAAAAATTCCTCAAATTCTTATTTGCTTCCCTAAGATTCCTAACGATACATTCGCTCAGCCTGTGGTTGAGGCAAGCAGAGCGCTGTCTGGTGAATGCCCGGCACTAATACCGGACAAGGCCAGCGGCAGGGAGAAGCCCTCCCTGCTCATCCCCTCCAGGAGCAGCAGAGCTCCAGACATCCCACCGCCGGGGATCTCTCCCAAACACTCCGCTCGTTTGCCTTTAGTAAATTTGAGATCAAATCCAAATACCTCAATACATTGATGTACGTTCTGTTTAGGAAAAAAAACTGGCAGGATTTTGCCTGGCGAATTTATTCAGGTGCCAAGTTCGGGCAAATATTCCAACTCTTCACATTTTGCTATTATTTTCCTGCAACTAGCCACAAGGAATAATTTAATGCTTTAAAGAAAAAGAGCGGATTTTAAAAACTGAAGGGGTATCATGAAGAAAACCCAACCCCATAGGAATACACTCAGTTGGCACTTCCATGCCAGTCACAAGCTGAACTGGAAATAGAAGGTGGAAAACATTTCTGCGCACTTTCTCCAGTTACATGTGTGAGGAAATGATCTTTCTGACAAATCTCAGTGGCAGAGCGGAATTCAGCTTTCAAGCTGCCCTCAGCCCCTGGCTGAGCAAATGGAAAGATGTCCCATCCCCAAAGCTCCCCTTTGAGTAGGCTCACCCCCCTGCAGAGCATTCGCCCGAACACTGGGGTGGTTGATGGGGGAACGGAGCTGCCTCAGAGCCCCCCTGCTCTTAAATCCTGGGAGACTTCCCAGCACGTTCATCAGATGGCGAAGCAAGACCTGGGGCACGGTGGAAAACATCAGCATGTGCCTTCCAGACTAACCAAATTCTTCTGCAACATCCTGCCATTAAACCACATTTTCAGAATGAGTAAGAAGCCTTAATACTACTGGGTCTCCCTTTAAAAAGAATAAACCTGGGGAAACTCTTTTTGTCTGAATAAATTTTATGTGCAGAGATTTTTGCAGAGAAGCACCACCTAGCTATGGTCTTTTTGTACATGTATAGCCATGCCATACCTCAGGCTCAAGTCCCGTCTATTTTACTTTTTCACTCCTTTAGGTCTTTGAAAGTCCTTCTAACCCTACTGCCCTTCTTTTCAGACAGCATGGATGTTTAAATAAGACAATTCCCAATTAATTTCCAACAGACCAAAGAAGAACTGGATTGAAAAAAGAATGCAGTGTCTTTTCAAAGTGGTTATTTTGCACAAATACCCATGAATTCTCATGGGTAGTCTCATGGAAACTAGAGAGAGAGATGTCTCCACCAATCCCTTCCAGAAAATGGCAATGGTAACATGTAAACTGAAGTCTGAAAAACAGATGAGTGTATGGTTGTTGGGTTTTTTCCTTAGCTTCAAGATTTCATTCTTGCCTTTTAAAGCTGATTTACGCTCAGGCTTCTGAGTCCCAGACAAACTCACGAAACAATCAGCTGTCACTACAATGGTCTTCAAACCTTCAACAAATGATTTGAGTCTTCCTATGTAGCAGGATTTAACAGGAAAGCGAAATCCATTGCAGTCTCCTATTTCATCAGCTGCTGCGCAGCCGGCGTGAGGAGACTGTATTGTGAAATGCATTTGTGCCTGTGCTCCGGTCCCCTCATTTTCCCCTCTAGCTTTGGCCTCATCTCAGCCCTCAACTCCTGCAATATCTCGGTGACCACGGGCAACCGTGGGATCATGGAAAAACTAAAGGAGGCCCATAAATCTGGTCAAATTGATGCTGCATCGCCCTCTGCAGACCGGCAGGCAACGGCTGCCGCGGGTTGAGGCAGAAGATGCGGAAGAAAAGCAGGACTGGGCAAAATTTTCCCTTGCCCGTACTTTTTCTGCAGGTCAGTGCAGTGCAGTGGTTGATGAACACTTCTGGAAAGCCCCGTTTTCTTGAGGCCCCATTTTCACTGGACCCACGGTGAAAGACTGTGTACACAGGGATAAAATATTATGCATATACTCACACCGCTATTTCATTCTAATGATTCCCACCCCCTGAAGAACTAAAACCAGCATGAAACAAACAGGCCAGCTTTTCTTTTACAAGAACAAGATGACCACATCAGAAGAGCTGAAAATTCCTCCCTAATGGCTTTCTTCTGGGAATCTATAATGAGCTGCAACAGTATGGAACATCCATATGTGTGCATGCACACATGCAAGTTGGGGTGAGCATTTGCTTGTATTTGCTGAGGAGCTCAGCATGCTACCAGCATCTGTTTATTGTTGTCCTTTTTTTGCTCTGGAGGCATCGGCTAAGCCACAGTGTCGGGTTCTCTACTCTGGCTCCACAGATGGTTGTGTTCCCCAGTACTCCACCAGGCTGCTGACACTCCAGGAATGAGGCAGGTTTTGCATTTACTCCCCCTACAAAGCCTTACTTCAAGTCACACATAAGCTCAAGGAACAAATGGCTTCCAGCAGTGGATCAAGTAGGAGTTAAAACAAGGCTCTCAGTGCAACAAATGGAGCTGGACACATGCTTACCACTTGCTGCTTTGATCACCACAGCAGAATTTATGTAATGAATTTTCTGGTAGGCATTGCACGGTCAAGTTAGGAAAAAGATCTGTCACTACTATGAAAATTTTATTGTCTTTAATAGCAATTAAGTATATGCACAGAGGCATCATGAGAGCAGAGAGGACGGAACAGGAAACTGCTAGAGGCAGAAAAGGCAAAGCTTTCAGCTTATACTAATAAGCTTAATTTACATATGCTTTTGTAAATTCACTATAGTGTTAGGTGTGTAAATTTAATTTTAAAATTAAATCATCTTAAATACAGAGACACATCTCATCTTTCCCACATCCCAGGACGCAAGAGCTGCCCTTGCTGGGCCCATGCTGGCCTTGCCCACGAGTGGCAGGGCCAGGGCGGGCGGCTCTCTGCTCTCCCTCCCTGGTACAAAAGCCAAAGGGGGGCGAGACCCGAAAGAAAGGGCAGAAAATTGGAGTGACCTCAATAAGGACATGGGGAAACTGTGACAGAGAAGGAGAGAACACAGGACAATTGTCACCGTCAGACTCCTCAGGGAGTCAGACCTGAGTCTGTGGAAACGCCCAAATGGACGTACCCTCCAAGCCAGGACTCTTCCACTGTTTCCATGGAAAGACGCGCACGTGCACTTCTCACCAGTGTTTGCTGTTGGCTTTCCCAGGCCCATTTCACATCATGTCCTCCAGATCTGTGTGTATCTCGGTGAGTAGGACAGCCTGGTCCTGCTTGTTGGGGAAAGGACAATAGATTTTTCTCAAAGATGCCTTTTGTTGTCCCCACAGAGAGGGCAGCCAAGGGGATGACAGGGAGAGAGAAGATGATAACATCTTGGCATGGCTACCTGGCTTGTAAATCTAGTTTTTTACCACACAGACCAGTGCCTAGAGGGTGCTTTGTCCAGGGCAGGAGGTCTGCAGAAGCTCCACGTGATATAGGCTGCTCTGAAGCCTCTCACAAACACTAGACCTTGTCCTTTACAGACTCCCGATATTGGCAGCAGAGCAGGAACTGAGAGCAGCAGCACGGTGACAGCAGTGGCTGGCTAGGAAATGGCCCCTTTGCTGTTGGGCTGAATGACAGGCATCTGATTTCGAATTACCAGGTGGACCAGGGCATGATGCAACCTCTTGCCAGTGTTCACTTACTTCCCAACACCAGTGGTCTTCCTGAGAGCATCAGGCTAAGCAAGGAGGGCAGAGACATCCTTCATCGGCCACAGCAGCCCACCCATCTGTCTGCCAGGGAGCGTCCCAGCAAGCCAGAAGCTCATGCAATCCCCAAGCTTGTGGCTGGGGTTCTGCAGGTTTCAGGTGAGACCCAGGGGCACAAGGACTGTTCTAGCAACCCCTTTTTGTGGATGACCCTGTCTTTCCTGGGAGGGAAGGGGGAAGAGGTGCACTCTCTGGCATTCGACTCTCCTCTGGGCACTGAGGAAGGTGGGGTGGGGAGAGGGGGAGAAAGTGGGTTACTTCAACCTGCAAATAGTGTGTGATGCAGTCTGGGTGATGGCAGGGTAATCCTCGGGGAGGGGAAGAGCCGGCGGGAGTTTGGGAGGCAGAGGTGCAGGACCGAGGGCCCTGCTTGCTGCCGAGAGGCGGTTTCAGGGAGACATGTCCAGGGCTGTTCTCAGGGGACCCTCCCAGGCTGTGTGAGCATCCAGCTTGGCAGGAGCAGGGAGCTGCCCATGCCCCAGCCCCTGCTGAGGGGGTTTAACCCGCAGGGGAAGTGCCAGGGGGGCAACAACGTGCTCAGCATCACTCCCCATCCAGGCGGGACAGGGCTTGCCTGAGGAACGGAGAAACTATTTGCAAACTCCAGCATCTCTATCCACACTGTGGTGGCCTCATTTTCGGATGAATCCTTCAGTGGCAACTACTCCCTTGCTCTGGGCTAAGCCCTGGCAAGTGGCTACATGATCAGGGGTAAGAAGTTAAAGCTGCCTCGATCATCATCAGGTTTTGCGGGATGTTTGCCTCGTCACTAAGCCAGGTATGATCGTGTACAGAGTGCGGCTCCACGAGCCCCTGAAGAGCTGCCCCGGGAGGAAAAAGCCATCACAACCCAAAACTGTTTTTCTCCCTCTAGCAGGCACCATGTGTACAGCAGCAGAGGTTGCATAGTAACGACAGCAGGAAGGCGTCAGCTCTGCCCTCCTTGCTCGCCGCAGAGCGCTGAGAAGAGCGAGGTACGTATCAGCAGCAAAACCGGGCTCTTAAACTCCCTAAACTTTCCCTTCTGCTTACTGGGGAGGAGCATGTAGCGATTTTAAAGCCATGCATCACAGAGGCTTCTTTGCAGAGAATGGCTGGTTGTGCTTAACTGAACTGTTGTGTGAGCCAGGGGGTGGGGTGTTTGTAGGAAGAAGAAACTGGGAAAGATGATAAGATATTGCAGGGGAAGAAGGGAGGCAACTCAGTATGTTGCCTGGAAAGCTCTCAGCACTTCAAAACCTTTTTTTGGTCTGCCTTGTAATAGTCTGGATGAGCTTTTACTGGGGCTAAAAGTACAGGGAAACAATAGGGAGACAGGGAGTAGCTGGCAGCCGGAGGAGGAAGCAAGCGAGTGATGACGAATGCCTTCCAGCCCCAGCCAGGTGCTGGCACCCGTGGTCCTGGCGCAGGATGGGTGCGTGGGCCAGCTGCCGGTCAGGGCCACCGGCCAGCAGCCGTGGCACTGGGACGGCCTGGGGACGGCCACCATCGTCGCAGCAGCAGCAGCACTCCGACGTGCCCGTCCTCCATTGCTCTCATGGCTTCGTTTCAAACAGCTTAGAGAGGCCTTTGTGCCAGCGAGGTGCAGCTTGTCAGTGCGTTGCACTAATGAGGGAGACAGAATAGGAGAGCAGATGCGTCACAGATAGGACTGGTGGAAGGGGTGGAGAGGGGGGATGTTGCGGGCCCGCCACGCTGGCCCCCCCGGCGCGGCTTTCTGGCTATCTAGAAGTCAGAGAGGCCACTGAGGAATGGATATTTTTGTTGTCATTCCCAGTTCTGACCTTCCCAGGGGAGGACAAGGCGGGTCCTGTCTCCCCTGGGCAAGACCCCCCCCCATGTCACCTCTCCCCAGGGTGGTCTGCACGCACTGTCATTGCACTCCAGGTCCCAGCACAGGGCTGAGGTTGCCCTCCCTGTCAGGGTGGGACACCTTCCCATTTCATGTTTGATCCTCCCACCCCCTGTGCATCCCCTCACGACGGGGATTTTCCCCTCTCCTGTCTTGTATCCTGCATATCCCAGTGCTCCTGCTCTGGGGGGATACAGGGGTGGATGGGAAAAAAGAGGCAGCAGGGCAAGGAGGAAAAGGGAAAGGGAGGAAAAAGAGGAGGAAAAGAGGGAAGTGGGGGATAAGATGAAAAATGGGAAAGAAACAGGGAAAGAGGTGGGGAAGAGGGAAAAAAGGAAGGCAGAATGGTGGAAAAGGAACAAAAGTGGGAAGGGGGAAAGAAGTGAGAAGGAGGAAAGGGAGAGAAAATGAGGGAAGTGGAGAGAGTGCAGGAAAAAAGAGGGAAGGAAGAGAGAGAGAGGGGAGGAAGGGAAGAAAAAGAGGGAAGGTGAAGAGGGAGAAAACAGGGAAAAGAGGGAAAAAGAAGGGAAGAGAAAGAGGGAAGTGGGGAAAGCACAGGAGAAAGAGAAGCAAGGGGAAGATGAGGAGGGGAAAAGCAAGGAAAATGATGGAAGTGAGGGAAACAGAGAAAAAGAGGGATGGATGGGGATATTGAGGAAACAGATGAAGAAGAGGGGAGAGGAAGGGAGGGAGGAAAAATAGAGGGAAAAGAGGGGGAAAGAAGAGAGGAAAGAGGGAGGGGGAAGAGAATGGCTTCCCTTGGAAAAAAAGGGAAAAGTAAGGGGGAAAGAGAGGGAAAAAGGGGAGGAGTGGCAGAGAGGGCAGGAAAAAATGAGCGAGTGTGGAAAGGGAGGGAAAAGAGGAAGAAAAGGGAAGAGAAAGAGGGAAAGGGGGAAGAAAGGTAAAGAAGGGGGAGGAAGAAGGAACAGCGGGACGGCTCCCGCGGGGGGGGCGGGGCCAGGGGAGGGGCCGGCTGAGGAGTGGGCGGGGCCAGGCCGGGAAGGGGCGGGGCCGGGCGGCGGCGGCTGCGCGGAACGAGGGGGCGGAGCAGAGGGGCCGGAGCGGGGACCGCGGGGAGCGGGAGCGGCCCGGGGGTGAGTGGGGAACGGGGACGGGAACGGGAACAACGGGAACGGGGAAAAGGGGAGGGAAAGGGAAAGGGAAAGGGCTTGTGAGCAGAGGGCAGCTGCCTGCAGCGGGGCGAGCGGGCGGGGGGGGCGGCGGCGGGGACGCCCGGGGGGTTGCTTGGACCGAGCCGGTGCTCGGGGACAGGGGGACCCCGAAACGGGCTTCGTCCTCCGCTCGCAGGAGAGCGCGGGGCTTGGGCGGGGGGCGGGGGCCGTGGTGATCCGGGGGAGGTAAAACGGGGAGGAAAGGCGAGCGGGCAAACTCGGGAGGCGCCCGCTAAATGACGCGCGTGGTTTCCGCGGCGCGGTTCTCTCGCCTATTTGCGCCGGTTTGGGCTGATTTTTGCCGCCGCGCGATTCAAGCCGCTCGGCGCGGTGGGACCCACGCGGGACGGGGCCTTGCCTTGGGTGGGAGCGTACCTGAGCTCCGGTGACCCCGCGCCGTGTCCCGGATCCCCTCCCGTGTTTTACGAGTACATACGCGGCACCTCCCTCTTGTCGTGGCGTGTCTCTGCGTGGCACTTCCCGTTCCCCCGTGGGTGAAGGACTCGCTGTGGGCAAAAGCCGGTGCCTGGCTCGGGATGCCCTCGGGTTTACATAGCTGGCAGTGACCGAGATGGGGGGAAAACGAGAGAAACTGCAGTCGCTAGCTGGTGTTTTTTTTGTTGGTTATTTTTTTTTTTTCCTGTCCACATTCCAATATGATAGCTCAGGAGATTTTTTTTTTTTTTTTTTTAAAAAGTTCACTGTGCTCTGAGTCATGTTAGCAAAGCCAAGACACCAAGACTGCATTTTGTCACCCACTGGAGCGTTGCCTTTAATACTCAGCTCGGCATATTTTGGTGCATGTTTATCTGGAGCTGCTCCGTTCAGAAATGCAGTTTGACTGCAGAGCAAATAAAAATCTTGCTTACCAGCTTCTCTGTGCTCGGACTTGCCCAACCCAAGTGACCTTTGAATGCTTAGATATCAAATTGCGGAGGAACACTTCTTCCATCCGCCTGGGTGCCACCACCTTTCGCATACAGATGCGTGACCAGCATGATTTTTAATCGGGCCCCAGGCAGTTCTCACGCTCATCTTCCTCATTCACCCTCGTTCTCTCAAAAATACCTTCGTTGTAAGTATAGCTCGAGGTCCCACAGTCAGTCGTGTGTGCCACCTTGGTAATACTCAGTGGCTGCAACTCAGTAGTGTGATAGAGAGAGAGTAGCACCAGGGCCTTTAAAAAACTCATTCTGGTTAAGCTCCCTTGGAGAGGGAAGAGGAGCATCTTGTGCTCACACAAGCAGCCTCCAGATAACAAGCTGTTGTCATATCTCCCCAGGATCCGTGTGCTTTTTGCCTCTCGGAGGAGTGCCTTGCTGAGTCCCAGACAAAACCACTCCAACGCTGCTGGCTTATACTGGGGCTTGCAGCAGGCTGGTGTTGGAAAAACACAATCTGTCCTCCCTGCAGTATAACTCGTGGCTGAGAGCTGGTGGGGTTGAAGAGGATTGTTCCTTCTCAGTCAGTGAAAAAAATGAGTTTAATTTTTTTTTTTTTTTTTATTTTCAGATCTTATCTCAACTGTCAGAATGGATCTTGACATCCAGTGTGAGGAGTTGAGCCCATCTAGATGGACTGAACTTCTGTCCACAATGAAATCCTGCAAAACCATCAGGTAGTAACTAGCTGCGTATCATCTCTTATAAGAACTGTTGTGTTTCTCTCCTGTGATTTTCAGCTGCAGAACTGTTGATCTGTGACTTAAAAACGACAAAGTAACAAGAATGACTCTACCTATTTTTATCCAGAAAGTTAATTTAAAGGGAGGGAAAAGGCCCCCACCCTTATGCAAAATTATTTCAACTACGGATAAGCATCCTTTGGTATGAAGTAATGCTGCCCTTGTTCTGTGATGTGCCACAGAACTCAGCTAGGTAACATGGTTATCTAAACATTTGACCACCGTTTTGGTAAGTCTGCCTTTCCCTTTCTCCCTCAAGAGAGGGACAACATCTCTGTGCTCATTAGGTTGCACACTGTCTGGGCTGCAGATCAGATGCTGTCGAATAACTTACTAGTCATGCACAGGCCACATGCCTTCAGCTTTTAATTATTCACTTGGCCTCCAGAAGTACCTGCCGTGTGCATCGGGCACACCAGTGTGACGGAGCCATCTCCTGCAGCGTAAGCTGTAGGACAGGGTTCAGGAGAGCTGCTCCCTCGCACTTTTCTCTCTATGGTTTGGGAATTCACACCCCACGGGCTGGCATTGTCTTGCTCGGGCTGGAGAGGATGGGCCACGTCAAGCCAGTGATGGCTTAGAGGACTTCAGGCAGGTTGTAGGTGACTTGCTTTTGTTTTGCAGAGGGGCTTTTTGCTGGCAAGCTTTGTGGGCCTGACCTTAACTTCCCAAGTTTTGCCTTGTGTGGCACAGGGCAGTGGGATGGTTGTGTCCTGGGCAGCGCTGGGATGCTCAAGGCAGCGGCTGAGAGCAGCTGCAGCGGGGATTGTTAGTCGGTGTTGGGCGCGATCTCGCTGGGAGCCAAGTCTTCTTGCCAGAGGGAGGGAAGGAGAAGCCTGCTAGAACCTCAGTTTTCATAGTGTTGTCCAAAAAGTGACCAGGCAACTTTTGACAGTCCTGGCTGTGGCTTTGCCTGGGGCTGTCGGGTTCTTCATGACACCTTCCTTTTGCCCCGAGTCTTTCCTGACTCCCTCTACGCCTCCCTGCCTGTCCTGGGCTTCCAATCCTTTCCTTGGGTCTCCTTCCAATTCAACTCCCCCCCCCATCAATTTAGCAACAGCTAGAAGGATGCTGAAGTCCAGTGGGAGAAGCCACGGCCACGCTGCAGACTTGCAGTTTGTGTACTGAGTCACGCCAGAGAGATACAGTGCAGACCGGTGTGACTCATTGTCATGAGATTAGTGATTATGGATCCTTTGCAACCTGAAGGTAGCAGCAATTTAAGATTTGTTAGCGCTGTTACAGTAAATCACAGGATTAGGTTGTATGATTTTTAACAATACTTAATCATCAGCCAATTATAAGAGCGATGTAATAAAATTTGCTATAATCAACACAGAGACTCAGTTAAAGATTCAAAAATGGCAAAGTTTCCTAAATCAAATCACACACACACCTCCCCACACACACTGATACAGAGGTTAACCTATGATCAAGATTTTTCTCTCTCCGCAAATTGTGGTAAATTATTGGTACCAAATGATCTTTGAAACCTTGTAAAGTCTAGTCGTGGCAAATTACTCGCTATTCTCCTTTGTCAGTGTTTGTAGCAGATGCTCTTTGAACCCTTCCTCTTCCTTGGTATCTATCAGCAGACAGTCTTGGAAATCCTTGCAAAAGTCTGCTCGTCGAAATCCTTGTGAAATCTACCCTGAGAGGTATCCCAGCCCAGGGGGAGATACTGGGTCAACAACGCGCTGCCATCCTGGAGAGCTCAAAGGGTCTCACTTAGGATCGCTATTAATAGAATTGCGAGATGATTGACTTTGGTCAGTATTTTTCCATTTTGGCCACCGTTCTTCTCAGGTGATTCTGGGACCTTCCAAGGACGAGGACGTGCCGGATCGCCCCAGCCCGCTGCACTTGTAACCCAGACAAGAGCACAGTGTTGGCTGGTCCCGACATCGCCACATTCCACCCTGCGAAAAAGTCGATCTTTTCCACAGAGTGGTGGTGTGCTCACCTATTCCCTCTGCGCCTATAAGTAGACCATACTGCATTTTAGTTATAATTCGAGTGAAAATTTATGTTAGGTTAGCCTCTATAACTATCGAAAAAGCATCTATGTTATTTCATCAAATGGCATAAGACAACATTATAGGTGCAGAGAGGTTCTTGTAATAGCAGAACTTGTTTTGTCATCTTCCAAACTTTGATACGATGTTCAATGTTTGAACAATGTTCAATAACAAATATAGTATAACAAGAGTCAATAGAACCGTGCTGGGGTGTAGCATCAGAGTTAGTGACCCAGTTGCCGTTGCAAGCCATCCAAAAAGGGCTTCCCACCAGGGATGTTCTCCACCTTTCTTCCCTCTTTCTAGGATATGGTGTATCTCCTCTGCATCATGATGGATGGTAATCAGGGGTTTTTGTCTGTTGTTCTGAATTCATTTTAGCAATTGATTCAGGTCATCGTGTTGTAACAGTTTTCTTATCAATGTGAGGCTCATTCCAATAGGGGTAGGTAATAGATCTTTATTATAACGTACAGTTAGGTTGTAGCAATTGGTGGGTTGTGACAGGAGCTGAGTAATTAAAATCACATCCTACAATTTTGGTAAAATTACAAATACAGATATTTGAGTGATTCTTTTTTTTCTACAGTGGTGTTATCTATAAATATAGAATTACAAAGGGTTCTTATACAGACACATCCATTTCCAATATATGCTAATACAGTTTCAGGGGTTTCATCAGGGTGTATTTCAAGATGACAAACATTTTGTTCAGTGTCAAGACAAATGTCTTGGGTCTTAATGATATTACTTTCACAAATCTTGTTGTTCCCATACACCACATGAGTCAACATCAATAATTTGCTGCTTGTTCCCATTTTGCTGGGCCCATATTCCATGGTGTAATGGATAGAGTACAGTTCCACAGTGATTCAGTCCCAGCACAATGCTGGGGTATATTTTGTATACCAAAGCATTGTGTATTGTCAAAACAAAAGCTGTGGCTTTACTGTCCATGGGGCCGTACGGGAAATTAACTGGATGCCACCAGGATGGAATTTCCTTTCCAATGTAGTTGCATTATCCCAGATTACCTTTTGAATTTTAGCGGGTAAAGTGCCCCTTCACCTTCTCGTGATAACTTTTGCTCCGCTTTGTGCTGCTAAAGCAACTGCCCTTAATTCTCACATCTTGAGGGAGTGAGACTGTGAAAGGTCAGCAAGTGCAGCATGAGCGATTGTGGGAGAATGTTTATATCCCTGTGGGAGCCAGGTGTATTGTACACCTGCCCAAGGAAAAGCAAATTTCTCTTTATCCCTTCCTTGTAAAGGGATCATAAAGAATATATCTTTCACATCTAGTGGTACCATCCATGGGGGTGCAGCTGCTTGCCACCTCCCAACTGATTTCCGAACTGGACAGACAGGTGAGTCATATGGGGAGTAGGTTCTGGAGATAATTTGTGGTTTTTCCAAATCTGTGATTACCTCAGAAGTTCCATTTTGAGCCACAGCAGAAATTGGGTATTATGGTATATTAGCCACAATATTGGAATTGGGGGAAGCAGGGGCTGCACAGAGTACACACACTGTAGCCTCCCGATTTCTCTAAGGATCAACATTTGAACCAAAGGACCACACGCTGCCATCTGGCAGGTGCCAGATCCAGCCGCTCAAAACATTGAAACCCAAAATATTTTCATTGTGATCTTTCACTGCAAAGGGAGTAGATTCTCGCCCAGGAGCCAGAAATTAACTTTCACACTTGCTCCCTTCACTCCGGTGACTTTAACTCTCAGCCATCCAGGTCGCACACCCAGCTTCTTGGCATCTTGGTTTGTTAGTATTGAAATCTGTGCTCCCATATCTATTAGGAATTTAATTGGTTGTCGGTGAGGACATATGAGAAGAATAATAGAAGGGCCAACACTGCTTATCCATTGATAAATACCATCTTTTCAGACAGGCAGGCCCAATAGCTGTCCGGAGTTTAAACATTTTTTTTTCATTTCTGTTCCTGCAACTCCTTTAATTTCTTTAATGGAGGAAAAGAAGGGTTGAGAGGTCCTTGGGGGGGCTGATGGAGGGAGAGCAGTGGCAGGTGACAGTGCTACATCTCACTTTTGAAAAGCTTCCATCAGGCTTAAAATAACTCCAGTCAGTTGTCTATGAATGGCAGCTCCGGGAATACCCATCGCCAGGGCTTGTTTCCACAATTCATTCCTTTCATCCCAGACCCTCGATTGTCGATCGTTGGGTCTCAATTCCTGAGAGCCACTCTCAGGTGCTTGCTTAACCTGTCTAACTGTATTTCTGCTTCCACTGGACACACCACCCCATCCCATTTCTCACCCAGGATTTATGACGTGCATCAATTCTGCCCAGGTGGGAAAATGCCTTATGGCTCTTTGTGTGGCAGTGCCGTCAGCTTCTGTGGCTAAGAGGGCATTATATTCAGTATCCCTTTTAATTTCCTCTCGCTTCGCAGTGAGGTAAGGTGTAAGCACAGCTGGGGCTCCCCTAATTAATGGTTTCAGTATGGCCAAATCTACGGTTGTTGAGATTGGAACATCACAGGGAGCACGTTCATGCGTAGCCTGTATACAAGCAGCATTTGTCACTGCAACTAAAAGTCCGTCTAGAGATTTTATGGGTACCATAGATGGTTCTCCTCTCTCGAGCGCATCTGTTCCTCCAGCCCAATATGCCACTCTAACCATTGCTGAATGGGAATCTTCTGGGCAGTTGGGGCAGCATTTAAAAAGACACCTGGCCCCTAATATCTGTTTGATTCATCCTCATTTAATAAAATTCTGTCCCCTCCAGATAAGCACACATGCCACAAATGCTCTGATTCAGTTTATCCAGGCTTAAAACCGTAACGTTCCTGTAAATTGGCTATTTGAATTGGATCAGATGGGATTGTTTCTCTACTGTGATCTCCTGCTCCACCCTGTGGTCCAGTAGTTTCTTCTGTTCTTTGTAATTGGTCTAGTGGTGTATTGGGGAGGCGCAGGCAGGTGGAGGGGGGTTATCTTTGAGCTATTTTTATTTGAATCATCCCAATCTTCAGGGGTTATTATTAGTTTCCTGATTTGAACTATGTTGGGGGGGGTTTTGGAGCTTGCATTAACATAATTTCGACACATTCTCCTAATTCCTGTGCTTTTAAGTGAGCTTCCTGAAGTTGTTTTTGCAGCTGTTCTATTCTTAAATATAGTAAGATTTCAGTAGCTTTACATTCCTCTATTTCACCTTGGATATCTTTCATCTTATTATTTCTTTGCTGGTATGCCGCTTTTAAACGCGTTCCTAGCACGTTACAAATTATACCTTTATCTGTTCTATCCTTGGTCAAACACCTTGTGTCATTCCACTGCTCCTCTGCCGCTTCCCATTCATTACAATTATCACGGACTCGTTCTCCTGAAAAGCTGAGGTTTGGATTAGTACCATAGTTCTGTAAGTAACTGGTGATACTACCTGCCATTCTGCCGACTCTGCCACCTACACGCGACCAAAACCGCCGATGGGCATCTCTGGGGCTGGCTGAAGACCCAGCGTGGCTGGTGTGACAGCCTGTGAGCTGGCCTCTGGTTAGACGTGGCTTCAGACACCAGGTAGGTTGTCGCTGTCAGCGTTTAGATGAAGGCGCAGCCTCCAGCTGAAGCCCTGCCCGGGGGGGTGACCTGAGACACGTGTCCTCTTCTGCGCAGCGCAGAGGAGGTCCGTGGCTTGGGGAGCTGCCGTGCAGCCCCTCCTGTACTGCAGCCCTGCAGAGAAAGCACGTCTTGGGTTGGGCCACACGTTGCCCAACAGGCCACGCACCTACTTATGGAGCCATCCCAGGAACTGCAGAGGAATAAATCTTTCTTTGCTTTCACGGGGACTGCTCCAGCCCGGGAGAACAGAGCAACCCCGAGGACTAAAGTGCTTCTTCTCTTCTCCTCTTTCAGGCTGGATGACTGCAATCTCTCCAGCAGTAGCTGTGAGGATCTCTCCATCATCCTCAGTGTGAATCCGTCCCTCACAGAGCTGAAGCTGAACAACAACGAGCTGGGAGATGCAGGCTTTGAAATCTTGTGTAAAGGGCTGCTGACTCCAAGCTGTAGCCTACAGCAGTTATGGTAAAGCCCCGTTGATTGTCTTGCTCTAACATGCTTGCAGCCTGCTGCAGGTGAAGTCATGAGGCAAACTGCTATGTGATGGCATTAAAGTCATGCCGATGCATCTCAGCAGTTACCTAGGTCAGATGGTTGCAAAACCCCAGAAGTTTTTATCTAAGCAGTATATTTATTGGAAGGCTCCAGATCAGTCTGTCTTCCATTGTCTTCCAGCACCGAGGGAAGGACAGGTAGAGTCTTCCCAGCCAAGCGAAGGCTGTCTGGAGACTTCCCTTAGAAGAGGTATCAGATCTTCCCCTGGCCTAGGCAGCTGGATTATCTGTGTAAACAAAAGGATGGCCACAGCAGGCCCCACTCTGCCGTTAGCACATACCTGACGTTTTCACAAGTGCATTTTTCAGAGGGCTGTTCTGCCAGTTGTAAGCACAGCGTTCAGTGTCTGGTCCAGTCTGCCCACTCAGAAGGGTGTTCTGATGAGCCTTGGCATTTCAGGAGCTGTCAGTCTCTCTGCGCTCTGCCAGCCTGGCTCCACCTCAAGCCTTGTCTTCTCAGTTGGGCAGGGCCAGCGTGGTTCAAGACAGCACATTTTGCAGAGGCACCAGCACCACCTTACAGCATTTGTAGGCTTCCCTAAGCAACCGTGGGGCAGGAGCTTCAAAGCCAGTGGCTGCTGCCCCTGCTCTTTCAGCGACCCTCAGAGACATGCTACCTTTTCTGTCCAGCATCTCTTCTGCAGGGTACTGGAGCCCTCCAGCTCCTGAGGTGGGTCTAAGATCTTTGTGACACTACCTTGTAAAAATCATTTGCCTCTCAGATCAGATATGCCTGCTCCAGAGTCCCTGTGTCCTCTGCAGTGAGGAGTCAGAAATAGAGGAAAAGTTGACTGTGAAGCTAATCAAACTTCAACTCTCTGCTGGGCCTTCAAGTTGTGGTACTCTGTACTGGAAGACTAATACAAGTAATTTTTCAGAGAGTTTGTCCTAAGCCTTAAACTTCTCCAGTCCGGTTTTGGCTGTTTCAGTTCTGTAGGAATGTATTTGGTGTTCTGGTAAGGTGACTTAGGGAATAAAAGAGCAATGAAACCCAAGTCAAACTTGCACCAGGCACAGTACCTCTCTTGCCAGAAAGTCTTGTCCAGTAATTCTAAACACCCCACAGCAATACCAGCACGGTTCCTACGCTACTTCTCCCAGCAGTCAGATTTTTACTTTTGGATACTCTGGATCACATTTCCAGAGGGGGAAAGACATTGTAAGATGCCATTGCTTTATCTCTGGAATAAGCCTCGTGATGATTAAAACATTTCCATAAAGCAGTTTCAGTGCTACTTAATGTAGGGCAGACCTTTCTTCTGCTGGAGGGGCTATATGAGCAGTTACACTGAAGGAAGCGTGGGAGCTATTGTTTGTGCTACAGGTATAGTACTGGCTGATAAATTATTTTGGCACACCTGTAAAGTAGCAGTACTAACCTGGACATACTGCTTTCTAGAGGGTTACGCACTGTCAGTGCCACGGCGTCCTTTCCAAGCTCAAACCTCAGCAGATGCGCCTCTCTGAGAAGAGTCTCTGTAATTCCGGGGGTGCATTTCCCTCACCCCAGTCGCTTCTCTCCTTCAGGCTGCAAAACTGCAATCTGACGAGTGCCAGCTGTGAGATGCTCCGCTCTGTCCTCAGCGCACAGCCGTCCCTGAGAGAGCTGAACGTAGCTGACAACAAACTGGGAACTGCTGGAGTGAAGGTGCTGTGTCAAGGGATGATGAACCCCAACTGTAAGCTGCAGAAGCTGCAGTAAGTAGTAACTGGGCTTTTTTGGTTATCATGCAGGTCATGCTTGTCTTTCCTGTGAGTCAAGCAGGAGCTTTGTTGCCAGATATTGATTTCTTCCTGTTTTATCTGAAAATGTGTTGTGCTTATTGGTGCTGGTAGGTGATGTGGGTTTGTAAGAGCTGGGAGCTGTCTGTTTGCCTAGGCTTTGTTTAGCCCTCCTGGCAGTAGTGACTGTTGATACAGGACCTCTCAAACGCCCAGGGAAAATCTGATTCTGTTGCACTTGGTCCTTGTTTTGTGGCTGAGCAGGGCCCAGGTGTATCTGCAGCTCCCAGCTCCTCCCGGGAAGGCTCAGTGGCGAGACTGCGGGATATGTTGCAACGCAAAACTCAAGTCGTGTGTTCCAAGGCAGCCTGTGCATTGGTTTAAGGGAGGACTGGTGTAAAAATGGGGTGGGTAATTAGCCTTGCTAGGGTCCCCTGGGTTCTAGTTTAAGAATTAATGCTTCCTGAAACGAGCAGGGAGATGCTGTTAAAAACTTTTAAGGTTATCTCTATTTTCATATGTTGCCTGGTCTTAACTCATGTTGGCACATTTTCTGCCCTGGCTAACACACGCTTTGTCCATCTGATGTTCTGCGGGTAGTGGAATGTGATGAAGACAGTTGTTTTTCCCCTGGACTTCTTTTCATCTCGCAGGCTGGAATATTGCGAACTCACAGCTGATATTATGGAAGCTCTCAGTTCTGCTCTGCAAAGCAATCCCACCCTGAAGGAGCTCAGCCTGAGTAACAACACGCTGGGAGATACGGCTATAAAGCAGCTGTGCCAGGCACTGGTGGAGACAAGCTGCAACATTGAGTTACTACAGTAAGGAAGAGCTGGTCATCTCATACCATCCATAAGTCAGGAAAAATTATTGTCAGGAATGCTTGAAATTTAGGCCAAAATTTTTTCTGGCTCGGATTTCCGTACCTAGAAACTGCAAGCAAATGTCTGGGGCTTTCAGTTTGGGGGTTTTTTTTGACCTTTTCTTTAGCATGTGATTCTGAGCTCACTCTTACACCTGTTGGCACAGTGTGAGCATATACCCCAGGTTAAACCTGCAATTACAAGCTGTGACTTCTCATCAGTATCTCAGAGCAGAGGAGCAATTGCCCTCAGTGGCTCCAGTTCTTACCCCTGAATTACCAGCCAGCTGGGTATATTTATTCAGATCCCTTTCTTGCTTCAAAACAGAGATGCTGTATTTGGCCTCATATCTGGGATAAAGTCCCTGAAGGGATTTAGGGTAGAATCATGATTCATCTTTTCTTACCGCTGTGCTTCAGCAGGGATTGGCTGCCAGGGACTCACTGTCTGATACAGCCAAAAGCTCCTCTTGAAGAGAACAGTTGATGTAAAGGGGGAGTTTGACAGGAAGAATCCTTGCATTAATGGATGTGAATGGGTGGGTCAGAGTAGAAGAGCTCTGCAGCCTCATGGAGTGCAGGAGCAGTGTGTTGCTTCACCCAGAACCCATCTAAGATACCTGTATCGTCTCTGAGTCTCGCAGGGTCCAGCAATGCCCGACTGAGCTGCACTGGTTTGCAGCAAGGAACCAGCCCATAGACCCTTCTCAGTGTGAAGTGGGGGGTGTTGGGGTGTATCTAACACAGCAACTCCGACTCTGTTTTTTTTTTTTTTTTCTGCAGCCTGGAGAACTGTGGCATAACCAGCGATAGCTGTCGGGAGATGAGCAGAGTTCTCAGTAACAAGTCATCACTGATAGATCTCATCATGGGGGATAACAAGATCGGGGATTCCGGTATGGCTTTGCTGTGTGAAGGACTGATGCATCCTAACTGCAAAATCCGGAAGCTATGGTAAGGGTAGGCAGAGGTTACTGAAATCCCTCTTGCAGCCTCCGAGCTATCTACCTTGTGCTGCTGGTTTGCTCCTAAGCAGAAAGTTTCTCAGTTACACCCCCTAGTGAAACAAGAAGGTCTCTACTGCCAATTAGTTACTTCCCAAAACTGGGTGGAGGACACCATGAATGAGCGGGACCGTGCTGAAATCACGTGGATCAAATTCTGGGGAGATGGCGAATGGAAATTTGTGATGGCATTGTCTTGGCTTCCTGATGAGTTGTCTGCCTACTAGGGTTGCATGTTCCTATTTCTTTTTTTGTGTTACCAACAGAGCTTTTGATCCAGTGGGTGGAAAGTAAGGAGAAAGCTGTGTGTTATGATGCATGAATGGGTTTTGTAAAGGATAGAAGAAAAGGAGATGATGTAACAAGAAATTCGGAATACTAAAATAGGACTCTGTTTTCTAATCTAAGTTATTCTTGGGGGGAAAATAATATTTTGTTGTTCCCTGCAGGTTATGGGACTGTGATATCACAAGTGCTAGCTGTGAAGGTCTCTCCAGACTCATCAGTACAAAAGAGACCCTCACAGAGATGAGTCTGACAGACAATAACCTGAGAGACTCAGGGATGGAAATGCTGTGTGAGGCACTCAAGGATCCCAGATCTAAGCTCCAGGAGCTATGGTGAGCTGCTGTCAAGTTTCACATACCCACTGCCTTCTTTGGAGACCTCACTGAAGAAAGATGTAGGTAAAGTAATGCCCATCAGACAGATCCTCAGTTGTGCTGATTCCACAAACAACTCATGCCAGTTGTTACCTAAAGGGTTTAGACTTACAGAGCTAAAGGGATTTATCTTTCTAAACCCAAAGACACTGTGAAGATCTGCCCCATAGTTACCCTGTTATAAGGAATAGGAGACCAATCATCACTTGCCGAGATTCTGCCTAATATATTTTATCGTGCAGCAAATGGCAACTAAGAGACTTCCGAAGTTTGAAAGGCCTCACCTAATAGCAAAGTGAGTGCTGTGGTCAAATATTTTGGGTTCTCCGCTGGATCTAAGCTCCCTCGTCGATAACCTAAAAGAAGGCTTTAATAACATAAACCATTCTCAGCATCCTCTTTGCTGACAGTGTTACCTTTTATGCTGGGATGGTCTGGTATCACATGGCTGGGAGAGGAAAATTGTTCTTTCATGTAGAACTTGAACTTTCCTACATCACAAGTGCAGGTCCTGCCCCCAGCTGGGTTCTTCCCCTGCCCTGGTGGCCTGGGAGCTGATGAGGTGCCTCAGGAATGCACGGTGGAGGTGAGAGTGACTGAGAGCAGTATGCTTCGTCTCTGATCATTCCTGTGCTTTATGGACAGGTGCCTTTCCTAGGAGCACACTCCATGACAGACATCCCAAATACAAAGAGTGGGAGAGGTGCTGCTTAGAAGGAATCGAGCAGATGGAGCGTTGAGAGGAGTACAGTGATCGTGGGAAGGCTATGGTTCCTCTGTTCCCACTGTCTGGGCTCCTGTGAAGCAAATGTGACGAAGTGAACAGTGCCTGATACTCTGGATCCCCACCTAGATCTCATGTCACTTTTGCCTTGCAGGATTAAGGAGTGCGGGCTCACGACTGCTTGCTGCAAGGCCATCAGCTCTGCTCTCAGCATGAACAAACAGTTGAAAATACTGAACATAGCAGAGAACAAGTTGGGAGATGCAGGTGTTGAAATCATATGTGAAGGGCTGCTACACCCCAACTGCAACATTCAGTCCCTGTGGTAAGCTTGCACTCTCAGAAGTCATCTCCTCTCTTCCAAGAACAGCATGCAGAGAAAGGAAGATAGCAGTAGGTGGTAGCATAGTATTTTTTTGCTCACATGAAACAATTCACACCACAGACTGATGTTTAAATAGTCCACTTGCAAGTAAATGGAAGCCACACGTGCTTCCATGTATCCTGTCACTCATGGTCTCTTGCAAGTCCAGGCTGTCACGCACGTGATGGTGCATTCACAGCTGTCACAGGCACTCTCCCAGGTGCAGAACTGAAAATTCACGGTGCGGTGTACCTTCAGGATCTAAAGAAGAGTCTGGGGAGGCTGGAGGGATCTTGCTTTGTTCTGCAAGCTACTCACTGTAGAGCTGCCCGTGCCCTTCCCTGGATTCACCCTCTCTCGGGTGGGACACTCGGGTGGAGGAACTACCGGTCCAGGTCTGGTGTGTTAGTTCTTACGCCTGCCAGTTGCGGTGCAAAGCCTGCCTGAATTCACCAGTTGCCTCCTGTTCTCCACAGTCCCTGTGGGTGCCAGCACGAGTGCCTGGCCAGCCCCAGGAGCAGGAGGCCAGCTGGAGCATCGCCTCCAGCCCTGTGGTGGGACTCGCCTTCCCCACCTGCCCGTTCGCTTCCCAGGTGGGCACCCAGCTGCTGGGCTCGTGTGGCTGTGACCTGCACGATGCCTGGGGCACCGTGCTTGTCTCCCCTGCACCATTTGGCAGAAGCCAGAGCTGTGCTCCAGTGCCCGAGGCTCACAGCGAGTGGGTTGAGCAGATGGGCTGTGGGAGACAGCGGTGAATCTGTCCGGAAAGATACTTTTGCTGACCGGTTAAAGCTACTTGGTTCTCAGCTGAGAGGCCTCAGTTGCCCTTTTTAGAGAGATGGTTGCAAGTCTCAAGTAATAAACTTTAGGGATCATTTCTGATCAGTTGAAACCAAAGAGAAGGCCATGCATGATGTTGAAGTTGGGAGTATCTTCTCAGGGTTCCTTTTCCCCCTGTAGCCACACGCTGCTCAGCTTTAGGGAGGACTTTTAGGTGTTCAGCAGTCACCATGAGGACTGCCGTCTCTGCGGGAAGACCACAGACCAGCCCTTGCTGATGTCTCGGAGATGCCGGCCTAAGGGGGGTCTCTGGTCCGTGCCTGCTGGTCTCTGGAGCCATCGCTCACTGAACTGGCCTCTCCCTCCTCTCCCTGCAGGCTGTGTAACTGCGATCTCACGTCAGCCTCCTGTGCAACCTTCGCCACCGTCATGACCACCAAGCAGTCCCTTACCGAGCTGGACCTGAGCGACAACCCCCTGGATGATGAAGGCGTCAGGAAGCTCTGTGACGCTGTGAGGAATCCCAACTGCTACCTGCAGCAATTAGTGTGAGAGATGTTTGTAATCCTGCTTTCATTGCCCCCCCTGGCAGGCTGGGGGGGGCTGTGGGGAGGGGGGCTGCCAGCACCGGCTCTCTGGGAATTGCACCCGAGGACAACCGGTGGCCCAGGGCAGGTGTCAAGTGCTGTCTGCATGTTGCAAAACACTCCTTGTCCCTTCCAAGTGGTGTGACCACAGTGTCTACTGTGGTCCATAGGGCCCAAGAACAAGGAGGAGGATGTGCTGGGGAGGGAGTAAGAGTCCTGTGTTGTAAGGCATGTTTCTGGCTGTTGCACCAGACTCTCGAACCTAGACGGGGCCCTTCCTGTTATATGATCTTTCCATACCAGCCACTTGTGCATCTTTCTCTTTCTGTAATGGGAGGATGCTTGCTAAACCAGCTTGCCTTTTTGTTTGGATGTAGCTTGTACGACATTTACTGGAGTTCTGAAATGCATGATGAAATGAGAGCCCTGGAAGAGTCCAAGCCTGAAGTGAAGATCATTTCTTGAGTGGTGACTGCCTGCAGAGCAACGTCAAAGCAACGTCCTCTTCTTAATCTGAACTTTTTCATACATAATGCTAGTTAACTTAATAGAGAATTTGCTTGTACCAAAAAAGTTTGTGGATTCCCTGAGTGGGTGTCCGGGGAGCTGATCAACCTTCTGTGCATCTTTGGATGTACTAACTCTGAGGCTTTGAAAGCGTTTTAGATTTTCACTGCAGCATTACTATCCTTGAAATAAACAATTACTGGGCATCTTTTCTAGAAGTGGGTCTCTACCCTTTAGGAGCTCTTTAATCCTGTAATCCCTTCTAGCACATTAGTCGGGCTTTAAAGAGATCTTTCCAAAAGCAGGAGAACTTCCTACTGTATTATTAGTAGGTGGGGCGTTTGCCAGGCCTCTGGGGAAGGCTCTCGAAAAAAACAAATGTTTTTTTCATTTAAAATGGGGCTCTCCCCTGCCTTTCCCGAGCAGGGTACTTTTAAAAGTGGTGGTGGCCAAGATACTAGAGAAGAAAGAAATGAGCAGCTGTTCAAGCTCTGGAACTTTGAAATTGATGTCCCTTGAAAAGTGATTTTCCTGCAAACAAAAGATGCTGTGTGCATTTCTGCTGTTAGGGGAAATGATTAAATGGTTTGATATGTTTGCTCTGGCAAGAGTGGTTCTACAGAAACTTTATTAAAGTCTGTTTGCAAATAATTAAATGCTTCATTTTTCTACTTAGAAAAAGAAATAAGATATATCTGTATATTTCTCTTTTAAGGCTAATCCATCATTCTGAACTACAATACTGCTAATACCTTGTTTTACATCTTTGCTTTTAGTAAGTTCCTTGCTGAAGCATGTCAGGAGAAGATCTTAGTCAAGGCCTTAGATGGACATCAAGCCTAGAAGACATTCCCCTGGTTTCAGGGGACCCTGACTGGGTTTTCTTGCCCAGAGTTTCAATAAATTTTGTTCCAAGGGAAAATGCAGCTGTTGCACACCTAAAACACAAAAGAACGTAGCTTTAAAAATGTAGGAGAGAAACCTGGCATTGCCCTGGGGTGGCCATGCAGGAGGAATGCCGAAAAAAAAATCTTTCTTCCTAGAGCAGTCGGTGTTTTGTTCACTCGCAAATCCTTCCTGGGCACCCAAATTAGAGGTGTCCCCCAGGCTTTGGCTTGTGATGCTCACACGTTCGTCCCATAGAGGCTGTAGCTGGCTTTTCTTTGACGTAAGGAAAGCTTTGACCTAAGCGTAGTTTCTACAGTAGCCTTTACAAATCTCCAGTGGTGCCTGAGAAGTAGCTTACTTGTGTCTTCAGGCAGGTGTGAAGGATAGGATTTGTTTTTTCAACACGTATCTCTGAGACAGCCCAAAATGCTAAAAAACCACACCTTTTTGCTTCAAGAACTATTTGGTCTCTGTCAAAGACAGAAGCAGTTCTTGTGTTTAGGAACCTGCCCATCCCTTGGGGCTCTTAAATAGGCTTTTCACAGTCGTGGTCTCTGCTGGACTTGGTGCGCATCGCTTCATTTCAAGCTGGGTGAGAAGATGGGCCTAAAGAGGGGTGAGAGCACATGTCGGGGGAGCCACAAAAATTGGGCATCTAGCTGGGCGTAAAGACAACCCTCAAAAAATAAAGCAAATGTTAGAAGTGGATTTCTGAGAGTACCTGGTGTGGTGGGTAGAAGGGGATGTCTGAGGGGGAAGCAGATGTGCTCCTGCCAAACCTTGTCACAACTGTGAACTTGGGAGAGTTGCAAGACAGAGAAATCGGGTCCTGCATTTTAGACATGTGGGTCTTCACCACTTTAAACTAAAAGAAGTAGGCAATAATTGAGTTACAAACCTTTCACGTGGACTAGATATTAGGTTGGCAGTCAAAGCCTTGCTCGTACCAAGTTCACAGCAGCTCCTGGGATGTCAGTCGCATTCTGGTTCCCAATCAGGGCGAATGGTTGGACCCACTGTATCAGTGATTTGCAAATGCTGTCTTTCTACTAGCAAGGGTTAAGTTTCACGAAGCTTAAACCAAAAATGGAAGGTTAAGAAAGGCAGGTATGACTTTCAGTTTTAAGCAAATACTAGAACCTTAAAAAACATGCCTATTGAGGTCAAATAGCAGAGAACTTAATTCCAGAGAAAGCAAGTCTGTATTTCAGATCTCAGTAACAGCAGCAGTGGTTTAGAGCGTGTTAAAACTTCAGGTTTCTGCTAGTAGTTTAGGATTCTGCACTAAACTTAATTTTTCACTCATCACAGCATACGATCTTGAGCAGGGAGGTCACAGTGGTCCAGTTAACGCTGCCAGGCCTCACAAAGAGGTTAGACCCCAACTAAACCCGCTACTTGCTTTTGAAGAGTGTCACGTCACGGCTGCCCTGGCATCCTGGACTGCTTTCTTGCTGCCTGGGCTTTTCAGGAAGGTGTTCCAGCACAGCAAGGCCCCAGACAGCAGCCTCAAATAATACAGGTGCTAACAGGAATTTTAGTGCTCCAGTTGAATCTGAAAGGAGAAATGAAGCCAACTGTTTGAGGAGTTAACCACAGCTCCCCCCTTTCTTTGAAAACAGTGCTTGCCATCTGAATCACTCCCAATCCTCTACTAAAATAGTCTGAGAGGGAGTTACCTCTTGCCTGAATTCCCCTTTTGCACATAAAACTATGATTTTTCATTATCGTTGCCAACACATCTACTCCTTTCTGTGTGCTTAGTTCCTCAGTCAGCCCTTTCTCTCCAGAACCTCCTTTTCATTTCATCTCTTTTGCCAATGGGGAAAACACACCCTGACAAAAAAAAAAAAAAAAAAGAAAAAAAAAAAAAGAAAAAACTAAGGGGGAAAGTCCCTCTCCCCATATAAGGCGAGAAGAATTTTGACCTTCTCTACCCATTCCCCTGCTCACAGCTGCAAACAAACCACAGACATCTTCCATTTCTCCTGGGGCAGAGCATCACAGCCCCCCTCCCTCCTTGCTTCCCCTGCTCGTCTGGCACTTAAACCGTAAATGCTAGCAAATCAGATGCATTCCCAGGTTGGCAAGGGCTTATGAATTGACAGCTTTATGAATATGTGAGGTTAGTCTAGCCTCTCAGCTCAAGCCAGCTGCATCCACCCAGGGAGGAAACACAGCCCCTGCCAGGCAGAAGAAACGCGCTGGGTCAGCCGCCTGCGGGGGTGATAAGCTTCTCTAAGCTAGAGGGCAAATCGGTGGCACATGGGATTCAGGACTGTGTAGCTGGCGGGGTGGAAACTTTAACTGGCCAATATTGTGTCACAGCCTATCTTGTTCGCAGTTAAAGGCAGGTATGCAGTGGGAGTGGTGAATTCTTGGCAATTCATCAAGCCTTTGAAGATTTTCAAGAGCAGACACAAAAAAAAAGCCCCAAAAATGGGCTGCCCTGCCTTCAGGCTGGCATCGTCATAGCCACAGAGGGAAAGAAAGCATCAGCACAGCTGTTGTTTGCATACGCACCCTGTAAGCAACTCATGCAAATCCTCCGGCGCTGCTCGCCGTTTCCTACCTCACTGGTAATTATCGCATCCCAAGAACCACAACGTGTCATCAGGACAGTGCACAGACCCAAACTAACCTGCAAAGCCAGGCCTTCCCACCCTAACTTACTTCTTTACACCCCACATACTGTTTCTGCCTTGTTTCACACTTAGATGCTTAGTTCAGACCCTAATTATACACTTTGCAGATGATTAAAGCACCTCTGCTGCTGGGCACAGAAATACTCCCCAGGCCATATGGTAATTGTTTAGGAAAGGTTGCCTGCCTGCCATGACTTCTAGGAGGCCTTAGCTAATTGAGCTCCTTGTAGCTGTGTCAGATGCATCAGCTCATCTCTAATGTGCAGTAACCGCAAATCAAGTATTGAGGCTGCACTTGGAGATAATTAGAATATAAAGCAGCAAAGACTTTTCTCCACGGCATCTCCCACAAAGAGGGGAAAAAACCTGTTTTGTTGAGTCCTGACTGCAGTGGGGAGCTGCTGCTTTCTTCACAGCAGGCTCCCAGGGGATCCATTCCCCCTTCTGTGCCACAGCATGCAAAGCAAATCTAAATTAGGCATGCTACATGGCATGCAGCCATGTCTCCCGACTACAGCAGGATCAAAGATAGCTGTAATCCCAACGAGGTGTGTTGGAGTCAGCTAATGAATGCTCCAGGGAAGAAATCCAGCTGGATTTGGATGTCTTGCTAGAGAGCAAGCAGAGCTCCTAAGGGTGGAGAGACAGAATGGCGCTGATCCAAGGTTTCTCAGGGAAAATCATTGAAGCCCAGGTGGGGTAAGGAATGAAAACCAGATGAGGGAGGAAGGAGAGCACTGGAGGATGATGTTCTACCTCCTTTCTCACCTCCCTCCACAGTTCTTGGCCCTGTAATTTCTATGTAATTTAGCACTATATTGTGAAAGAGAGAATCACTCCTGCTTTTCAGATGGCTCATTGCCTCTAAGTGTTTAAAGCATCTTCAGGCTCCTGGGTTTTTATACCTGGCAGTCCTGGGAACGTATGGGGTGGCATTGGCACAGCTGACACTATGGATCTAGCTCCAGTGGTGTGTGCAAAGACTTCCCGTTCACTGCTGGCATCTACCTGCAACGGTCCCAGCTCCAACATCTGCAGGACATATCTGTCAAAAAAAAAAAAAAAAAAAAAAAAAAAAAAAAAGAGAGGTACTATTTCTTTGGATAGAGAAAGAAGAGTTAAAACAACTGCACACAAAAGCAGATGAAAAGCACATACTCTTGGCCCACCCATTTATCCTGTGCTTTTCATGGGCCTTGCAGAACTGGGAGGACTTCACATATCCATATGGATTGATTTCACCAAGAGCATCAAGGGGCTATAAATGCTCTCCTACAAGTGTCTAGAAGCTCAGCCTTTCTCCTTTGTGTCCTGCCCAGTGCCTGTTGGGCATCTCCTGGAGCAGCTCTCACTGTGACCCCAATGGCTGGATGTTCCAAGTGGGCACACAAAACACCAGCCCTCCACTGTTTTGCTGGAGTTAATTAAGCAGCAGCCTCTCCACCACATTGTTCCCCACGTACACTCTGTTCTGAGCTGGCTTCATCAATGTTGGCTCCTGTCTAGCTGAGTAATGTTGGTGGTAACACGGAGCACCTGTGCTCTCAGAGGGCTCCCAAGGACCTGCTTTTACCCTGTTTCTGAAGGTATGCTTTTATTTAAATATTTACTATTTCAATATCTCTTATGTAACTTCTCTCAGGTGAATGATAGCCAGTTAACGAGTTTGTTTGAAAATGAAAGCATTCACTGCCCACACAGAGAACGCAGAGATGGTTAACAACGTTGGGAAGCTTTTCTAAGACAAGCCAGCCAGTGCATGGGTCTCCTGTCCCTTTCTTGCACTCATGCCCTTACAAAGGAGCACGGATCCTCTGCCTTCAGGGTGTTATCGCAGGAGGATGTCAGGGTAATGCCAAGGTGTCTTTGGCTCACGGCTTCTCCAAAATCATCCCATCCTGATGAGAGCTTGCTGCTCCCCTCCCTGATGCAATGGTACCCTTGGCTCAATTATTATTTCCCTTCCCCAAGACAGACATCCAATACCTCAACCTCCCTGCTGTTGCATGAGCTGAGAGCACAGCCAAGGATCACAGATGTGTGAGGTTTGGGGCAGCCGTCTGTACCGGTAGCTTTGTACCTGCAGGGTGAGCACAATCATTATGGGCACTTGTATCT